CAACTAGCATCTTTTAATAGGACTGTTAATGGTACTCTAGTGACTGACTGACTTTAAATAATCAAACACCATTGCAAATCCAAGAGAATATGCCAATGAGATGCTCAAGTGTTGAGAAATTTGGTTTGATTTTAAAATTAGAGAGCGGTAACTAAGAATATGCAACTCTGAGGTTTTGCATACATCCTAATTAGTTTGGCTGTGAAGGTCTGTTACATCTTTGCCAATGGGCCAGGAAAGTTCAGTATTCTACAGCCCTTGAGAAGGGATGTAAGGGTCTTTTTATCATCACCAGGAGTTAACGCCTTTTGATGATGAAGTCATAGGCCCAAGATAAACTGTTCATTTCATGTACTGTGTAGTATTAGCATACAATAACCACATTTACCTACAATTGGGCGAGACTTGCGTTCCACACTTGCCTGGGATTGGAGTGGGAGTTCACGGTAGGTCCAGTTCCCATCAGGTTGATCAGGGTCACATTCTACTGTGGTCCATTCTGTCTGATGACAACATGAATCTTGGGGTTAAGTGTCACCAGAAGTGTGATTTTAGGCCATTTGAGCAAGCAGGTGAACTCAGTATGTGGAATGACAAAAAATGTATCTTCCATCACCAACACCTTTCCTAGCAAAATAAAGCCAGAAGAAGGAGCAACCGTTTCTCCAAGCATGGAGAGGAAGGGAGCTGGTAGAAGAGACTACCATCAGTGAGATCAGTGCTAGACCAGATAGTAAAAAATTGGGGCCAACACAGATCGACTGGCTGCTATGTAGGAGGTCATTTAATGACCTTGAGGTACATGAATAATGCAGAGACTACTTTTCTGACGGTGAGGAGGACATAGCTAAATATAAGCAGCTCATGAAGTCCACAGCCATGTTTTACTGGATGAATCACAATGCTTTGTAATAACTTAATGCCATAGTACTTTTTGGCTTATAATTCTGCAAAGTAAAGCACTTTTTCAAAGGCGTCTATTGGAAAGCCACATAATTTCAGCTGTATTGTGAGCTCTACAAATGTTTCCAAAGATATAATCGAAATGTTTTTCTATTGATTAAAAAAGTATAAATATTAAACCTATCCTAGAGACATTTAAGTGTAATTAAAATAGATTGTTATGCTCTAAAAATATACTCTAATAAATGATATAAATATGTTTATGATGGAACTATGAACTAGAGAAGGACACGGGGTCACCCAAATCAATAATCAGAAAAGCAGCCACGCACAGTCTGTAGTCTACAGTGCCTGTAGTCCCAGTTACTCGGGAGGCTGAGAAAAGAGGATCACTTGAGTTCAGGAGTTCTGAGCTGTAGTGCACT